TGGTATTTAAATTAAAAAAAAAAAAAGGATCTCTGTATCCTAGAATTTTGCGAAAAGTAAAATTCCCCTGTTGGCCAGTCTGATCAACAGCTCTGGTGAGTTTGACGTATTTTATTCAAATTTATGTTTTGGGCATGTTTCTAGATAAATATTGATCCTGAAATGCTCCAGATGGTGCACTAAGCACAGTTGCGCGCTGTGGTGTTTTTGTCTGGTATTTACTCATGAATGTGCGTGCCGGTGCCACTTTTCTTTTCTCCCCCAGACAGAGTATGAATACAAGTACTTACATTTGAGTAGTCTTGATACTTGATAATGCAATCACGACATCAACTTGTGATGAAAAATTGTTTCCCAAGCTTTTTCTTGGACGTTACATAAATTCCACTTCAAAAAACACTTTCTAGTGTGATAACATTTTAACATATTTTCCTAATAGTCTTGCGAGACCACTTTCTGGAATGTACGATTTTAAACAAGCCATAAGGACAACTGAAGTAATGCATTATCACAGCACTGCTTCCTTCTCTTTGCTCTGGAAGGTTGAAAAGTCGCCACTGGAGCAGAGTGTAATCTGCAGTCTGCTCAAAGTGACATGGCTCCAACACATGGGCAGGCTGATGAATTGGTATTGGCGTCCCGGTATCGGAGCATATTTACAAATCTACACCATCCTTGATAATGGTGGCTTGACAGTTTCTATCTTTCCAATCCAATGCACATCCTGCCACTGCCCCCTTACATAACGTTGATCAGCGTGAACGTGCGAGCAATGAATGTGGCCTGGAGCTTAGCCAACCCGGTGGCTTTGGCCCTGGGTCACTATTTGGACAATAAATGAAGAGCAACTTGGTAGGACGCATGCAGTCTTAACGTGACGGCCCTCCGCAAAATATTGGCTTGGGAGACCACAGAACATGTGCCATCCCGTTTATAGAAAAGGGTGGCTAACTTCTCTAAATAAACCGCAGATTTTGGTTCCCTGCCATTCTGCGCCGATCTGAACTGCCTCGGCGAATAGAAATGTGCAAAGAAATCAATGTGAGAAATGGCTTCAGTCAACGGTAAGAACGGATCTCTGTATCCTAGAATTTTGCGAAAAGTAAAATTCCCCTGTTGGCCAGTCTGATCAACAGCTCTGGTGAGTTTGACGTATTTTATTCAAATTTATGTTTTGGGCATGTTTCTAGATAAATATTGATCCTGAAATGCTCCAGATGGTGCACTAAGCACAGTTGCGCGCTGTGGTGTTTTTGTCTGGTATTTACTCATGAATGTGCGTGCCGGTGCCACTTTTCTTTTCTCCCCCAGACAGAGTATGAATACAAGTACTTACATTTGAGTAGTCTTGATACTTGATAATGCAATCACGACATCAACTTGTGATGAAAAATTGTTTCCCAAGCTTTTTCTTGGACGTTACATAAATTCCACTTCAAAAAACACTTTCTAGTGTGATAACATTTTAACATATTTTCCTAATAGTCTTGCGAGACCACTTTCTGGAATGTACGATTTTAAACAAGCCATAAGGACAACTGAAGTAATGCATTATCACAGCACTGCTTCCTTCTCTTTGCTCTGGAAGGTTGAAAAGTCGCCACTGGAGCAGAGTGTAATCTGCAGTCTGCTCAAAGTGACATGGCTCCAACACATGGGCAGGCTGATGAATTGGTATTGGCGTCCCGGTATCGGAGCATATTTACAAATCTACACCATCCTTGATAATGGTGGCTTGACAGTTTCTATCTTTCCAATCCAATGCACATCCTGCCACTGCCCCCTTACATAACGTTGATCAGCGTGAACGTGCGAGCAATGAATGTGGCCTGGAGCTTAGCCAACCCGGTGGCTTTGGCCCTGGGTCACTATTTGGACAATAAATGAAGAGCAACTTGGTAGGACGCATGCAGTCTTAACGTGACGGCCCTCCGCAAAATATTGGCTTGGGAGACCACAGAACATGTGCCATCCCGTTTATAGAAAAGGGTGGCTAACTTCTCTAAATAAACCGCAGATTTTGGTTCCCTGCCATTCTGCGCCGATCTGAACTGCCTCGGCGAATAGAAATGTGCAAAGAAATCAATGTGAGAAATGGCTTCAGTCAACGGTAAGAACACAAAGGTCAAATAAACTCACACACAATTTCAATTTTTTTTGGGGGTGGTGGGGGAGAATGATGTTGTGCATGATATCACAAGACTTGAGAGATTAACAGACTGTGCAGAAGGGTTTGCAAAAGGATTGCTTCTTCTGGGTGTGTTGTGCTCTTTTCAAAAGACGGAACGCTGACATGGCGTCAAGCGAAACCTCAACATGCTTCGTGGCGAATGTCTTGCTTTTTCTTTGGCTTTTTGTGCCTTTCAATGACAGCCACTTCAATAATGTCAAAAATTGACTCCCCGCCCCTCCCAAAAAAAAAAAAAAAGACACCCTTCAAAAAAATTATGGTGACCATTACCCTGGAACTAATTATGTAGTTCATTTCCTGTGGGGGGAAAAGTGATTTTAAATCCAAAGAAAGTGGATGTGGACTACCCTCCCAGCATGGATTGTGTTTCTTCGAGGGTTCCGCAGTGTGAGATGTACAGTATGAGAATGGAAGATTCTGTATTCTTAGGAATGGAAAGTTTGCATCAGTCAAAACCTCCCAGTCTTCCTCTCACCTTCAATTAAAAAAAAAAAGCTGCTATATCTCTGAGTTGCCAAAATAGCAAGTAACAAGCTCTGGAAACTCGCTCCTCCTTTTTTAATGATTTCAACTGCTGGAATACAGGCGGCTGACATCATCTCCCTGAACCAGAACTAATGGGAAATTCCATCGTGTCGTCTGCAAAAACCATTGCATGTGTCAATTTGGGATTTTGTTTACGGATATACAAGCAAGCATATAATTTATACATGTAAGGAGGTGGGAGAGAAAAAAAAAAAAAGGATCATCCGGTTCATCGCGGCGATAGAGGAGGCAAGAGTGTCGTGCCTGGTAAATATTTCCCATGACCTCAACATATGGTCAAGGCAAATTCTCACTCAAACTGGGAGAGCAGGAAATGGGGGGTGGTGGTGCAAGGGAATGGGTTGTTCAAAGAGTGCTGAAAACATCTACAACAACTGTGATTTTGCCTAGATGCGCTCTGCGGAAGGAATGCGAGTCGTGTCAACGACCTTTTACTGACAAAGGTTGCATTGTGCGTACGCGCGCCGCTGATGATGATGTCTCAGTAGGGGTTTGCGGGGACACACCTAAGCAGCTCTCATTTAATCATCAATAAAAAGGGCCTTGACAACTGGTGAGAGGAATGACAAATCGCACGATGACGAATGCTTGCTGCTGCCTTACCTCTTTGCAGAGCTGTGGAGATGAGGCTGTGATAAACGATCATCCATGACTAAGCTCATCGGCCTGGCAAAATTTACCGGACTGCAGGGGAGAAAAAGAATAAGTCATGCTTGATTACAGTATATCAGCTTGAATGTTGCAATAAGACACATTTTTTTCCCCTTTTACGATAGAGATAAAGGGACAGAGATATACCGAGGGTTGGAGACTATTATTGCTGACGATAGAGGAAATAGATCATATGTGTCAAATTCAAGTCCTGTGGGCAAAATTTGTCCTGCAACATCATTTAAGGTGGGCTGCGAAAGCAAATTATGCCCATTGACTTTGTTTCTTGCAACAGTACCAACACTGTAAATTGTCACTTTTAAAAACGTTGATCCCCTTTTTAAAAAATAAATATTTAAACAAACAGTTCACTCTTGAATACATGACACACATGCAGACATACAGATAAAGTGATAGATGGAAAGAGATGCTGTCTAGTGAGAGGTTGACGTAAAGAGATATTGACGAAGATTGAGAGAAAGCGCTGACACTGCCGAGGTGTAGAGAGTGATTTGATTTTAAGATAGAGATGGAAAGAAAGAGCGATGAGAGACTGACGAAAGAGATAAAGTGGAGATACAGGAGAGGGATAGCGAAAGAGAAACAAAGAGGCTGAGATAGAGTTAGAGACGAAGAAGTGAGGCTGAGTTGAGATATTGTAGCTTGAGATAGATAGATAGATAGATAGATAGATAGATAGATAGATAGATAGATAGATCAAAGAAAATATTACCATGAACGCAGTGGTTTTTCGAGGCGTTTTTCCACATCCATGAGTCATCACTGGGATGCGAGTTTGCTGCAACCCGCCACCAACATCAGTTTGGGGAGGGAAAAAGAAGCCTCATTCGTCCGAGTTCGGCGTTTTTCGCCTCTTTAAACAACCCATCCCTCTTTATTTTTCCATCGACTGAAGCTTGACATTCGGAAAGTCAACCAGTACTGTACTCGACTATGGTACCTTTTTTTTTTTTTTTTTTTTGGGGCTGCAGCTTACATGATCCAGAAGACGCTGCCTGGCTGCCTTCCTGCCTTCGACACGCAACTTTAGTCAGTAAAACAAGGACTGGGGCGTCCCTCCGTGCGGTTTATGTCCATCCTGACGGGGCGTTTCGATCACATCGTTAGTGTCGCGAGTAACACGCACACACACACACACACACAAAAAAAAAATGGAAGCACCGCGCAAGCTTGTAAACGTTCACGCCAAAGTCAAGCCAAACAAACTCACGAGCAACAATTCTTCCTTGCTGGTTTCCCTTTTATGAGCGCGTTAGTGTGTCAACAGTGTCCTCTTGTGGCGAGTGGTAGAAATGACACCTCCCTTTTCCTGAATGAATGTTTCTCACCCTTTGATTGAGAAAGTAGGGCACGTTTCTCGATGAACATGTAGCTCACGACCTTTACTGGTGATTTTTTTCCCCTTAACTTTTTTTAATGGAATGGTTTTCAAAGTATGAAAACTAAAGTTGTTAAATATGTTCATCATTGTTCAACATTGTTTTGACGAGTGAGGTAGCATCGAACATATTTTTGTGAAGACAAAACTGACGTGTCCTGTAACACTGCACTCAAATAAACCAAAAGAAATGTACTCAAATAAACAAAAAAATATATACTTGAAGATTAACATTAAAATGTATACAAATTGAATCCAAATAAATGTTTGAATTCAACATTCTAAAAGATTCAATACAAATACACTGTACTTAAAAGTTAAATACAAGTGATTGACAACAATAGCAAGTTATGTCAAAGGACTGAAACAATGTTCAACCCAAAATCCTAAATCTCAAACTATTTGTGAATACGGTGTATGTTTCAGTCGAAAAATGACACACTTAGCACCAAACAAAAGAAATACAGTAATGAGGATCTCATCTCAGTTTTCTGACAAATTTACTTGTGTGAAATCCGGACGTGTTCACTTTAACAGACAAACAAACCAAAAAATTGCTGTATTCTACTGTGTGAATGGCAAAAGATGCTTACACAGGTTAGTCATACCTTCCCCCCGTCGAGTGGAAGAGCATTTACTCGATACGCAGTCCAAAAATAAATTTCAGTGTGATAAGGGTCCTTGCAAGTTGAAGTCATCATACAGGCGCTAGAGTGGCGGAGACGTTGGCATCGGCGCAGTAGAACATCTCCGCGCCGTGTGAACAGTCTTGAGGGTTGAGGCCCGTCATCGTCAGTCCAGTTATCATGACGAACACCCCGAGAGCAATCAAAATGGCGGGCATCAGGTTTTCACTGTGATACCAGCGTCCAGGGGAGAGTTTGAGGAAGCAAGCGGAGGGGATGATGAAGATCAGAGGTGTGGCACTCAGAGCACCCTGGTGGGTACAGCAGAACACCAATGAGAATAGAACAAATAAAATCGAACAAAAAATAAATAAAGCTTCATTGAACAATTAGGAGTTATGACTTACATTTAACTCCAAAACAATTCCCAGACAGTCGTACGCCAAAGACATCGCTGTGCAAGCCGCAACTATGATCACCGTGACAGAAATGTGCTCTACTTTTGAAAGCTCCCGACCACAAATTGAATTTGAAATCACCTGCGAAGAAGAGTATGGATGCACATGAAAACTTTGACTCTTCCTATGGAATACTTGGAAAAAAAAATACAGCTTACCTCTCGAGTAACAAAACACTCCAGCGGAAACGTTGTGATGATGCTGAGGGCAAAACAGAAGCGACCGAATGTTGCTAAATTATCATTTCTGCAGTAGTTCTCAAATATGTCTCCTGGTCACACAAAAACAAAAAGGCATTCAATTTATGACAATGAGATCAATCTGTAGGCTGATATTCATGCATACCTTGCGTGTAGCCCGTAAAGGTGACGTAGCTTGCCACCGCAAACGCGGCGCTGATGATTAGCGCTGAGCCAACCGAAATGTGTGTGACCCGAGTCCAGTTGGTTAGCGTGGGCCGCTCCAGAGAGCCGTAGATCAGAAAGCTGTTGTGGTGACATATGAAGGCTGAGGAGAAACACAGAAGCAGAAAATCGCAACTCCAATTACTTTTTTCAACCGAAACAGACGATGACACAACAAAAACAAACTCAAGAACGGTAAAGTCAAACATTTGAGATCTTGGGGACTTCTTAGAGCAGAAAACAACAGGGAGAAAAATGAATCGATTTGGAGAAGCAAGTTGGCTTCTTATCCGAGAAATGTTTGATGTTGTCAGCTACAAGACCGATTCCTGAGGAATGTGTTGTGTCTTGTGCTAGCCTCAGCACCACCAGCCCCTGGCGTTAAAAAATTCTAATCTGAAGTCAAATCTGAAAAAAAATGAAAAGGTCATACAAGTTAGATGTTTTTTTTAAGTGTTTATAAGTGGTTCAAAGGGTTTCGCTCACAATCACCATTTAGAGTGTCCAATCATCCTACCGTGCAAGTTTTTAGAATGTGGGAGGAGAAAACGAACCCGCGACCTCTGCAACGTGAGGCGGGCATGCTAACCTGAATTATCATGGTGTTAGCGTTTGCGCAGAACCACCACTGATGCAAACGACGGCACTCAAGTTCTTACCCAGTGGGGACGGGTGACTCCGAGTGACTCAATGGGCCCCGTTTTAGCCCCCAAATCAGGAAAACTGAAACGGTTAAAACAATTCACAATTCTTTGTTTTTATGTGTCTTCAATTACTTTTTCACATCCACAATAAAAATAGGGTCGAGGCCTCAAGAGATTTGCACATGTTTTTTTGTATATCCTGTCTCATTGACATCTTCGAAAGCGTCCTTCCTGAGGGAAGCCATTGCCAACTTTACTTGACAAAGAGTACAATTCTCACCTCTGTTCTCTTTGCAGGGATTTGTTTTTTGTTGTCTACTTGCTGCAAGCCAATCCCATACTTAATGTTCCACCATCAATACATTTGTTTCATGGCCATTATTATCCTTGAGGCTCAAGTGACGAAAGCAAGAGTTTGCGATGAAAAAAACAATAGTGAATGAAATTCTTTGTCAGGGAATAAACTTCTATTTGTTTTAATGATTGAAATTACCATCGGCCAACAATAATTTCAAGGTGTTTGAAGAGTTGGACTTGTTTTTATAACATTTAATGTAGCCCTAGCAGTTATATACAGTATGGGCAAGGCGCGAACTATATACAGTCAACCACTGCAATTTGAGGGGGATAGGAACCGAGTCACCCCGCCCCCCCCACCAAAAAAATGTTCAAAAAACACTGATAAACATTTTGCGGGGCTACTCACCAAACGACATGACGCCGACTGCCTGAATTGCGTTCCACTTGGCAAAAAGCCACGCCTCCGCCGTCGGGGGACTAGACAGGAAGCAACATTTGCGTTGAGTTGTCATCCTATTCCCACATTGCAATATCAGCGCTTCATCAACGGAAACATTTGTGTAAGTGTACATTTGAGGTCCCAAGGTGGCTGCTCTGATGATTACAATGACGAGGATGATTACTGTCAGTATCATTGACAGGAAGGATACCTAGTGACACACATGGATGTTTTACTGGCAACTAAACCACAACACTTGGAAGTCTGTTATCGAGGCACTCACCTTGCCCAGTCTCTCGATATTTCGATAAAGCGAAAGAGGCAGTGTGCATAAGACGGTGGACATGACGATGACAAAATGGCGGTCGGCCATGATGTGATCTGGTCCAACTGCAAACAAAAGTCATTTGAAGCACTTTTTGCATTGGGCGCAAGGCTGAAATGGAGACACGGGAATAATGGCGGTGTACCTCCGGAAATTCTTTGAAATATTTTGGTCAGTGTGTCCCCTGTTGTTATGTTGTAGCTGATCATGGCTGGGGAAAAAAAGCAGCAAGTTAGCAGGAGCCTGAACTGGCATAGATCATTTGTAGAGATGCAGCTAGTTTTCATCAACGACTTGGAATTTCTTTACTTTGATTTTAAAACTCTTCAATATTTTTTTTATATTCCACGAAATTTGATTTTTAACAGTGTGAAGCACATTGAGCTATCTTGTATATGAAACGCGCTATTTAAATAAAGTTGCCTCGCCTGTTAAAAATGATTTCCCAATGCATTTCTTTGGCATCACTTACAAATGGCTTTTTCGCATTTCTCATGAGTCTCTTGACTGACATTGAAACACAATAACACTCGTGTTAATCAAAAATGTATATTTAAAGTTATTAAAAACACAGTAATAACATGCAGTTTGAACATTAACACAGACGGTGAATTATTCATGTATTTATTTTGAATTTAAAGCGGGAGAGCCACACATAAACACACATTGGTCAGTCCCCTCTCGTGGCTTTGAGGTCACGTGGCGTCACCATGGAGGTGTAATGATATTTTAAAAAAAAAAAAAAAACCTGAATAAAATCTGTAATAATAATGAAAAATCCAAAACTATTCTAACCCATCTTTGCAGGACTTACCGATAAACGGATACAGGAACTGCAGCGCTGACAAAATGAGGAATCCTGGAAAACCAAATGTGCTTTGGACCAACGACTGGTAACTGTTTGTCCCGGACAGGTTGCCTCCTTTAATGAGTAGGATGATTGTGTAGTCTGCCATGATAACGCACAAACGCACACTGTCACTGCTCCGATGAATCCGAATGAAGATTTGAAGAGTGAAAGTGGGACATTTACCGTACTCACCCGTGATGAACGCAACAATAATCAGAAGCAAAACGCCAAAGGGGAGTCCTGCTTGGTTCAATGCGTACGGTAAACCTGGTTTGAATTCAAATAGATCAGAATTAAAATTTAATTAAAATGAGTCTCTTGTCGTGAGCTGATCAACTAATTTCAGAGCAACTGGAAATAACACTGTGACTAAATATGTACAAACAAACCTCATGATGTCTTAATAGTTCTGGTGTTAATTCGTATCCCTTTCAACTTGGTTTACTTTTTTTTTTTTTTTTTTGAGGCATGTAATTACTCTGTCAGAGTGGAACAAAATAATTTACCCAAGTTTAAAAGGTTGTATCAACCGCATAGGCATATGGCAATATTACATGCATACTTTAAATAGCCTTAAACTGGGGTTGCAGAGATTGCGTGACACAGCAGAAATTTGTGTGTGGGGGGGGATAGAGAGTGCGAGTGAGAGTTTTAAAAAGGGTTCAAACAGGCGCTGGTCATATGATCACGAGCTTTTACCGCTAAACAGCCTCAAGGTTATGCAAGCTTGTGTTTACACTCCAAGTTAGTATCCTGACTATTAAATAAATTTAAAAAAAGCATCACAAAATAACTATTAAAGGCCACTAAAATCAAGCAGGAATGCATTTCGATTTAACAAGTTAAGAAATGAATATTTTAAACTTGCCTACCACCCCAGAACCGATGATGGAATTGACAAAATTAAAGCATGCAGATATCATGGAATATCTTGCTTCCCTTGTGGTTTTTGGTGAGGAAATTAAAGCGATTCCGGGTTCATCGCTAACCTGGAAATTGAGAAAATGAAGCAGTGATTAATAAGGCAGAAAGCGATCTTGTGTTGTGTGCTGCATTTTAGGCCTACCTGCTGAGCCATTTGGGAGCACGTGCTGGTCCGTGATGGTGTTTATGTTGCTTGCCCGAGTCACTCCAATGAGAAAATGTCACACTCATGCTGGGAAAACTTCCCTTTTAAGGGCAGTCAAGATTTTCAAAAACGTTCTCAACACCGCCCCCAGCAGGTCGTTCGTGGAGTCAAACTGTCAACTGAGGCCAAGAGCATCAGCACGTCACCTCACAGCCGCCGCATTCGAACTTTGACTTGCACGCAAGGAAATCTGGCATTAAGGGATTAATAATAAAAGTGCATTGCAATTTTTTTTTTGACAACCGCTTGTTTCAGCTCAGAAAAGTGAACTAATTGGATCAATGTGAGGACTCGAGGGACAAAGGGCAAGTGTTTCCCCGCTGAGAGAATGATTATGAGAAATGCTGAGCGGTTTCAAGCACGCACGCGCACTCATTCTGCCATGTCTCGACATCCACAGTGATGGCATTATGGCTATAAGAAGTACTGTTGTTGAAATGACGTCACGGGATTACCGATGACTCGCTCGAAGGCAGGGATCAATCAAAAAAATGATGATTTCCCCCACACCCCCTCCGCGTCAGTGCATGCATTTCAGTTGTACTTTCACATGCAGTACATTTGCGTGTAATTAAACATGTATTTTTATGATGATGTATAATTCATCCCCCACACCCCCTCCCCGTCAGTGCGTGCATTTCAGTTGTACAGGGTTTACTTTTCACATGCAATACATTTGCGTGTCATTAAACATGTATTTTTATGATGATGTATAATTCATTTAGATATTTTTATTTAGATTGTATTTAATTTTAGTTATATAATTATTTACATTTGGAGTGTTACTGTTCAAACTGTGCATAATATTACAGTGGCCGGTAAAAATAATAAATGTACTTTGGAGTTATCACACCTACTACAGTTCTCTGCTGCATTTTGTGTTTGCATTTATTCTTTTTTATTATTTAGTTTTTTGTTTGTATTGGCAATCAAGGTTGCAAATGTTGGCGTTCGAGATGTATTATTGAGTTATCACCACTAGGTGGCGACAAAACCCCTGATTACGTCCTGAAGAGAGACTCTCCAAATTACAAAAGCGCTGCAAAAGCGCCCGTTGTGCAACAAATGTCCAACTTTTTTAAGAAACTTTTTAGCCTGCCGCTCCTTCATTTGGTCACCTTTCAGAAAAAAAAATGAGCCGTTACTTCTACCGGTACGGGATATTTTTGATCTTTTCAAATAATATGGCTCGTAAAAATAAAATCAGAAATGTCTTGCTCGTGTGTATATTTTCTATTCCGTCCTCGATGGGCGAACGTAACTTTCACGCAGTAGTCTAGTGGAAGAGAACGCGAGGAGTGGTGCTGGTGTCTCTGCCCTCTTTTGGTACCCAGGAAGCTGAGAGGTCCACCACCACTCAGACAGGCGCACGGAGGGCGGATGAGAGGCTCTCTTCTGGCGAGCTCTCTCTCTCTTTTTTTTAATCGGCTCTTTCCTCTTGGAAATTATTGGAAGCAAGCGTGCTAACTCCCAACCAAACGGACTTATTTGTTTCTTTTACCAGTCTACCCCCACCCGCTTTTTTTTTTTGTGGCTCTCTGAAGTTTCTGGAGTGTCTGTTAGCTGGAAATCATGGGAAACTAATGGTAAGCACAACTCAATATGTTTGAGTTGATTCTATCTATCCATCTATCTATCTCTCTATCTCTCTATCTCTCTATCTATCTAACATTTTTATTTCAATTATGTGTAATGAACTTGTATTGGATGATCTTGTTTGTAGCTTTGCATATATATATATAGATAGATATAAAATCAATCAATCATCAATGTTTAAGATATTGTATATTAACTTTGATTTTTTTTTTTCTAATGTCACTGTTTGCTTATCCTGCTCGGGGGGGTTAAAAAAAAGTGACAGCTGAGTCGCTCCTTTAAAGGGATTCGTGGCCAAGCGTGAGCTATAGTCCTGTCGCCTTAATGGGCATGGCAGCAGTTCTCAGGCCACACTCCAGCTCGGAACGCTTCCTGTTTGCATGGCTGTCAACAGCCTTATTAGATTGCCCTCAATTACAGCCTGTCCTGTTTGCTTTCTTGCCAGACTGTAGACATCTGTGCGCACCGTTGCCTATGGAAGCTGGCACGTCAAACATCTACGCGGAGGCAAGTGTGTGTTGGCGGTTCCTGGTCGCCAACGCCCTAAATGAGCCACAGCTTAATTGTGTTGTCTGCAAAGAGGCAAAGCAATGGTGGGGAGCACTTAAGAGAAGTCCCATAGGAGGTTATAGATTCAATACGCTGATCACCCTGTCCGGGCTTTGACATGAAAAGTGCATTATTTTATAGTTTTATAGATAAATGTCTACCTGACTGCCACCCAAAGTGCCGAGGAGGGGGCGGGGGATATACAGACAGTTCTTTGCGCATTTATTTAACATCCATGTACTAGTATGCTCTTTCTCTTCACTAGTAAGACAATTGGGTAGTATTCGGGCACACTAATAGCACAGATCTGGCATACTCCTGTGACTTGTTACGCTGCGCTAGACTACTGAAGCAGTAGATAGTGACTGACAGAATTTTCATAATTCGTAGTACTAGTAGGATGCAGTGGTCAACTAATGCAGTTTTGGCGACGAGTTGTAAGACACGGTTGTTTTATTAGTCCATTGAATTGCCTTACTAGTGAGGACAAAGAGTGTACTACTACATCAAGCTTAACCTGTAACCTGATAACATGATCAGCTGTCCACTGTAGTAACTGCTGTCCCTCAAAGGGTTAAAATAATTTTAGACTAAAGTACAGTGTAAAAAAACACACACACACACATACAATACACATATAATTTTTGGGCTAAAATGGTAATTCAAGTAGGAAACTATTTAAAATATAAATGATTGACATGTATGGCAATTTTGATCGTAAGTACAACAAAGCCAGCACTTTTTGGTTTTTTTTTTTTTTTTTTTTTTTGCTCCAAACCATTTTTGCTGAATTGTTTTTACTCTAAACTTTAAGTTGGGGGACAGTACAAGGAACAATTACAGCAATGGGTTCTGTAAATTCTTATTTCGTTGCAGAAAATGCAGGAAGGCCAATTTTCACAACAGCAAAACTTAGTGCGGTTTGTACGAGATGGGCAATAGGGGCACAAGTAGTGGAAAAACATTACTGCGAAGACACAGTCATTCTATCAGTGCTCCCCCCCCCCCCTCCTATTTTTCTGGTTGTGCACCGATTAGTGTGTAGGGACAATTATATTTGTTTTTAAAATCGTTCCGGCCTAGTTAAGACATAACTGGAATGAATCTTCTTGGTGCTGCGGTTGCTAATAAATTGGGCGTTGAGTGTACGCAGACTCAAACTTTAAATTTGCCTTCTTATTGATTTGTTCCCGCTTGAAGAAAAAAAAAACGTCTTGTTGTTGCATATTAGTCTATTTTTAACTTTCAATTTCAAACCTCATTGAGAGCATACGTCACAAACCTCCCATGGAAGGTTCAAAAACCACACTAACATCAATTTTGTGTGTGTGTGTGTGTGTGTGTGAACGTAGATGTGTGTTCCTTGTCAACAACAATTTGCCAGTGTTGACCGAGGCAGTAGTGATAGTCATCAATAACTGACATGGTTCTGACTTGTACTCGCTGCAGAGTCTCCAAAATACTTCTGATCATCCATTTTATGGGTCAGATGAGCGATTTGTTTTAAATATTCAACACTCGCACTGCATGTTTTATATTCTATCAGGCTGGGGGAGTTCAAGAGAGTGCTCGCCAAAAGCGCTACTTATGTCGACAATGGTCTTTTTGGGACTTATTTTTCCCTCAACCAAGTTCATCAAAACTACTCAAAACAGTGGCAGGTGCAGGACTGTACGTTGCGCCCCGGGGAAAATTGAAGGTACAGCGATGCTGACACAAGTCGGTGATGCCGACAGGTTGCCGATAAAGTCAAGTGCCTCTATTTGAAGCTTCAAAGTGTCAGCGCGTATCTCAAGTGGAGTGAAATGAGTTGCTAGTGGACGAATGATGCACGCGGCGACCTCACCGGGTCAACGTTTTGTCAAGGTTAAGCCCGCTTTTGCTCTTTTGAAATGTGATCAGACAGGTTCAGTTGATGCTTTTGTCACTCTGTCCAGTCACTTGCAGGAGTATTTTCACATGTGAGGTATTTTCGTAGTACTATGGAAGCAAAGATGGTGTGGACATGAAGACGGTGTGTTCACGCCGGCCCCCCGACTCTGTAAAAAGACTTCCAATCGAACAACAAACTGTGTTTATGTGATCAACTATTTTTCCAAAGCTCTTAGAGCCATCACTGATGCACTAAAAATATAAAAAGGTTAAAAAAAAGCAATGAACTGACTAGGGAGTGTAAAATGCAAAAAAAAATTAATCCGCATGCCGATTTACCTTTGGGGATGACCAGTTGCTTCTACACAGGTACCAATTTTTAACACACCAGGCATGCTCAAATGTATCTAACTTACCGGTAACTATTTTTACTTATTATCATCCAAACAAAAATCCAGACATTCAATCTTAATGCAACGTAATGCCGCACGGCTCCCGCGACATTTCTCAACCAGTTCATTTGTCAAAGAGGGTCTTGTGTTTTTTTCAGCACTCTAAATTGATTTAAAATGGGCAAAAGTAACAGATGCTGTTCAGACAAGTAGCAATTTGGGGAAACACATGAAATTTATCATATTTGGAGATAAGCAGGAGCGTTAACCAGAAATTTCTCAGTCGCAAGCATCGCACTGGTCATAAACACGTGCGCACTAAAACGTGAATGCTTGTTACCCCCCCTTGGTAACTGAGAAGTCATTGTTTATCATACCACCCACAGCCGAGGTTTCATGAAATAACATACAGAACACCAAATGCATAAAATACAATGTACAAGACAACAAATCAAAAAGGCACTTCAGTTAAATACTGCGTTAAGCTCGTCTAGACAGTGTTGATCAAATGGACAAAAAGACTTTCTTAAATGAATCTTTAAAAGTTAATAACCGGATATCCAGTTGTTATCCACTTTGAGAAACACAGCAATAGATATTGAGAGTTTTCAACTCGAGCTCTGCTGCTGCTGCTGCTGCGATTATGTCACACATGTGCAGCCCAGTGCTGTGGGCGCTTTGATTGACCAGCTTTGTTTGGGATTGATTTCTTGCTTCGCAATGCAAAGTGTGGAAGTATACTATTACACTATTAAACCGAAGGCAAAAGCTCTCAGTGGCAGAGCGCTGCAGTCTGAAGTGCATTCATATTTAATAGAGCAGTGGGCTCCCTCACACATCACAGCAGTCAAGCCTATTAGGAGGATGAATCTTTTCATGCTGCGAAGGGAGGGAAGTCTCACCTGCGATCCATCATAGTCATGTCAAATCTTAATTTTATCCACTGAGAGGGCGTGGGGGGAGCGCGGGGTATAATTAGGTCTAAATTTACCTCCCCTGGTAGAAATTTGGATGTGGCCTCTCTGGATCCTGTGGCTCTTTAAGACGATGATGAAATCAACTCCTTCGTGCCTCTGGTTTGATCAGTAGTTTTTAGTTTTAAGGGGTGCTTGATGATGATGATTATTTCGATAACCACATTCATCATGAAATTCAGCTCGCCTTTCGTCCAAAGTCGAGGTCGAGATCAGAAGGGTTAGCTGGGCTTCAAACAGCAAAGCTAGTAGACCGACACTTGTTTCTGCATAACACTGATCAGCTAATATCAGCTTTGTTCTAAATTTTTCCATCTCCTTTGATATGCTGAAAGGAGGGGTATAAACTACAACATTTCTCACCAACTAACTTTGTGCGAAAAACAAAGATTTTGGCTAACATTAGCCCCAAGGCCAGTTAGCAGTTAGCATGGTGGAAGTCAGCTGTTCTTCGGTTAATGAAGAAATACAGGACATTTCTGATATGTATCGATGATGAATATTATATCACGGCAATAACTGACTGATGTTGTACATAAGCTATATCGTTTATAAATCCATGTACTCAACCAAAATTGAGAATTACCATCAAAGAAGTGTTCAGAGCAAACGGGGATGTATCGACATATCCAGCCAGAGTGAGAGCAGCTCTGCTGATTCATGGAAGCCCCAATCTCTGTCTTTTCTGACACGACAGTTCTGTCTTCTCTCTCTGATTCCAAATTAGTGCCGGTAAACGGTGTAACGACACTTTGTACTTCCCACCAGTTCTTTCGCAGTCAAATACCGCACAGTAATTCGCCAGCGATAATGTTAACCTATCAAATTTATCTTTTCAAACACGCAGTAAGCACCACAACAAAACAATATGGTGGCCTGAGGAACTAACAATAGATAATGGAGAAATGGATGGATGGACTGACAGACTGACAAATTGATCGACAATGGCCAGGAGCAAATCCCAACTACCCTTTCGTTTGAGCTGTTACTGTTCGGAAACAATTCTTGTTTTCTCACAGACAAAATACTCGCCTAAAAGCAGGATGAGCCACTGAGAAGTACAGTGTGCTAACTCCATATATGCCATTTTGCAGAACAGTGATTTATGGCTGCAGTTAAATCTGCAGGATTTATATTTTGGTGATTTATATGACAATGTCTGGAATTGGGCATGATTTGCCATGGTCTACCGAGGAGAGAGACGTGTGATGCAGAAGCATGAGAGTAGTGTCGGGTGTGACCACTTTAGCTGATTGCTCTCAGTTTTTACTCATGCGGTAGGGTGTTGGCCTGCAGTGTTGGTTTGTATCACAAAAAGAGAAGGACTTTGGCCAGCAGGTTGTTCTCAAGTTAACATAGACTGGCAGCTTGCGATGGCTTTTTCGTTACGGACATTTTGCCTTTTCGTTGTGAAGCAGATGATGACCTAAAAATACTGCCTGATGACAATACTGCTTGGTCAACTCATGGAGGCAGCGAAATGGCTAGACAATGATTATTTCTTAGGGATATTTGTTACGGCAGATATCGCGGTTTTCCTCAGATTTTAGTTCATTCGAAGCCTCTTACAAATCTATCAATATTTCAAAGAGATGATACATAACATTCGCCTACATTAACATGCTGTAGCATCGGCACACAAGCTAAAGCGCTACTTACTTTCCGAGTCTTCTGTCAATCTCTGAACCTCATTTTTTGTTTCCATCTATGTGGTCATCTTATTTATTTATTCAAGTTTCTGGTGGCTGGAATATATCCAATCTGGTCGTCACATTCCCGGCATGATGAGAGGCGCTAGCTAGCAATTAGCTTGTGAAGCTAACAGGCTGGGCACTAGTTATAACAAGAAAATGACTCACAATTGCGTTGGAAAACCACTGATGCAAACGAAGGCCCTCTTTGTTTGTACAGGATATGAAAGTTCGGAAGCCAAAACCATAATCTGAAGGGACCCATTGTGAGAGTGGAAGTCAGAGAAAGGCATAAGAAAACCACCGATGCAAATGAAGGCCCTCTTGTTTGGACAGGATGCGAAAGTTCAGAAGCCAAAACCATAATCTGAAGAGACCCATTGTGAGAGTGGAAGTCAGAGAAAGGCATAGACGTAGATGTCCTTGGAAGTTTTCATGGATCAAACACCTGTTGTGAATTGTGTTTGCCTCTAGAGTTTGTTTGCATTTTAGGTTCATTTTGAAATTTCAATCTCCCAAACGTTTTGTAAATAATGTCTATGTACTACTGGGCAAGAGATTGGGCTAAGTAGCAACTCAGTTTAGGGTGTCTCAAAAGAATTGAAGGAGATAAAAATCGGTTACAACACTGGAGGCGACGTCATCCAACAATTCTAAGCAACACATTACCTCAAATATAATTCACAAAATGTAGTTCTTTTGCTCGAAAGAAATAACTCTTCTCTGTCCAGGCCTTTTTCATGCGGGAGGCTAGCTGTGCGCCCTGAAGGTGCAGGATGAAAAGATGGCGCAGCTGCTTGTACCGCCAGGACCAGACAGCTTCCGCCGCTTTAGTCGCGATTCCCTCGCGGCCATTGAGCAGCGGATCGCCGAAGAGAACGCCAAAAAGCCAAAGGGAGAGAAGCGAAAGCGCAGCGACGAGGATGAACCCAAGCCGAGTCGTGACTTGGAGGCGGGGAAGTCCGTCCCCCTGGTGTACGGGGAGGTCCCGAAAGGAATGGTCTCCACACCGGTGGAAGACCTGGATCCCTTCTACAGTAATCAGAAAGTAGGTTTGTTCAAGCAAGAGGCTTAACTGATCATATGACCCAATGGAATTCCCTTTGGGAAGTCGTAGTCTGTACCGATGTGTTGACAAGAAGACAGTAAAAATGAGACAGGAATCAGCAGTCTCCAAAATATGATTAGCGATTTGTTGAGTCTGTTCTGTGAACCTCCGAGCAGAATGCTCATAAATTTGCTTTAACGTGCTGACATGACTGGTCGACTCTCTTTTGTTTCCCAGACGTTCATAGTTATAAACAAAGGAAATTTGATCTTCCGGTTCAACGCGGCTCCAGCCTTGTACATCCTGAGCCCCTTCAACCCCCTTAGAAGAATATCCATATGGATTTTGGTCCACTCATATCCTTTTTGTCATGTTTGGTTGCCTCTATCGTCCACGATGCTACATGGGTAGATTCTCTGTGCTCTTGGTTCTCTTTACGATTGTGCAAGTGTAGCTAATGTTGTGCGGAGTGTGGCTAGACTCTACGACATGCTCTTCCTTGACACCTGCGCGCACGTTGTTCAGCTTGGTGATCATGTGCACTATCATCACCAACTGTGTATTTATGACACTGAGTCGGCCACCTGACTGGGCAAAGAATGTCGAGTATGTCGTTTCTTTGGTCGCACACTCAATCCATTACTTTTTGCTCTCAGGTGTTGATACTCTTGGGCTTCAATGTTCATTCTTTCCAACAGATACACATTTACCGCAATCTATACGTTTGAATCCCTCGTTAAAATTTTAGCCCGAGGGTTCTGCATAGGAAAGTTCACCTTTCTTCGAGATCCATGGAACTGGCTGGACTTCTCTGTCATTGTCATGGCGTAAGTATTTTCACACTTGAATGTAGGTCGGGATAGTATGCCTATGTGTGCATGTTTTCTCTGGAGCGATACATCAATGGGAACAACCTCACTTGCCATAACGTTAAAGTCCAAAATGTCACATCCACAGGAGTAGGACCATCTCAAATCTCTAGAATAGGGCCACGTGATGCACTCGTGCCCTGGCATGAATGTAGAACTTTCGTTAGCGTCAGTGGTTATCCGGCTTGCTATACCTATACCCTGAAAATGCATCTTCCTTCGACAGACATGGCCATTTACATGTGCCTCGTTGTTGATCATGAGTGCATGCACAAGATTTTCAAAAAGGCTTAACTACAACGAGGGGATGTCTGACTTGCCAGTGTGGATTCGGGCATCTACCTGGCATGGCTGCTTTAGAGCGCCTCATTGTCAGCTGTGAGTGTGCGCACGTCACACAGAGAAAGGCAGAGAATTACAAAAACATTTTTTACATATTTTACAGAGCCTTTTATATTGATTGCATGTTGTTCTGTTCATTGTTCTCAGTTTCTAACCGACAGTTTCCCTGCAGGTATGTCACCGAGTTTGTTAGCCTTGGCAGTTTCTCAGCTCTTCGCACATTCAGAGTGCTGAGAGCTTTAAAAGCTATTTCTGTGATTCCAGGTAAGCCGTCAAGGCAATACACACTTATCTGCATGACTAAAAGAACATTACATGCCAACATGTGAGTGAACTGTTCACCCTCATGGCTTTACCTGAAATATTCATTTTGCTGCTTGCGCGTTTCTGATTAAAACAGCTATGCCGCTCTGACACATGCAGAGTAATGCAGCCTGTTGCTACTCGCCAGAAATCAAAGAGCGGTCAGTCTCTTGCCAAAATGCGCGGGTGCTGTTGGTGAATGGGGCAATCGTCCGTTGCCAACAGCATCTCGCTAATATTGTCGATTTCCTTTCTTTATGACTATTTCCTTGACAATCGCACCATGTTTTTGTGGTCTACTAAAACAGAATACAGTCCAGTATAAAGCATATATAGCCTTGAAAACTGATCCGCAGACAGTTTTCTTTTTTTTCACTGCTGACTTCATTCATTACTGCCTTTTGAATACATGACCTGGCCTAACAACGTCATTGCATTTGGTAGGCTTGAAGACCATCGTCGGTGCACTGTTCCAGTCGGTCAAGAAGCTTTCTGATGTGATGATCCTCACTGTCTTCTGCTTGAGCGTCTTTGCCCTCATAGGGTTACAACTGTTCATGGGCCATTTAAAGCAAAAGTGTGTGTTCATGCCAGTACACAATGATTCCACCATTAATGGCACATTTTCCAATGGCACCTACATGAACGGAACAGACAACAGTACCCAGGCTTTCAACTGGACTGAGTACTCACTTGATGATCGTGAGTATTTGAAGCTGCCCTTTCACCTTTCACCCATTCTACCAGAGTTAAAAAAAAAACGCCTAAGAACTCTACTATCTGGTGTGGATAGCTTCTTTAAGATGTTGGGATTCCTCCTCACGGTAGTGGCCTTCTCTGCAGGCCGAAACATGATCAGAAGTATTGACCTACATTTACGAGCTAAAAATCAGCTCCATAAAATTGTAGTAATTAATTCCTAAGAGACTTTTCTCATCATCTCAAAGCATTTCTCTTCTTTCAAATTCACCTCACAGGGCCGTCCGACTCGCAATGTCAGCATTTTTCTGTCCTCTGATTGATTGAGAGCAAAACTGGTAAAGCCAATTTTAATTTGCATCACATCTGTAGCTATCTGCACACATTGATTCATTAGAATTAAAAAAAAAATATGCCACAATAGTTGATGGAAGAGGAGAAATTGACTTGGTCTTGAACAGAATAAAAAATTTGATTTCAGGGCAAACCTTTCCAGAAAAGCTAGGCATTTGAGGTAGAGGTCGGCTAACCCAAAAGCTAGCTAGCTTTTTTTTTCTTCTTTTTTTTGGACTGATTTTGTCCCCTTCATGAAAAACCATTGCGTAAACAATGACCGTACGTGACATCAATGTCATTTATTTATCAAAAGTGCACCTCAACCACTTGAACTGCAATTCTTGTCCCCTCCCACCCCAGAAAACTACTATTATCTCCCAGGCAAACGGGATCCATTGCTTTGTGGAAACGGCAGTGAGGCTGGGTAAGTTGATCCCAAAGGCAAACAAACATTAAAGGTGACATAAGATTAAATATAATATTAATATTAAACTGGGAATCTCAAGGCACCACTGAATATGTCTTGTAAGCTGCCTATGAGAAATCGTGTCTTGAAGTAAGCTGTTCGGATTTTCACAGTATCTTGTCATTGAAAAAAAGAAAAAAAAAACGGTTTCAAATTGCATAAAATGGAATGTCTCCTCTGTCAAAGTACAGCATCACAAATTTGCTGGATTTAGCTGCAGGATACAACGTGTGACACTTTTTTCTTGTCTTTTTGATGCAGGCAGTGTCCAGAAGGGTTTTCGTGCATCAAAGTGGGAAAGAACCCCGACTATGGTTACACCAGTTTTGACTCGTTTGGGTGGGCCTTCCTTTCCCTCTTTAGGCTCATGACTCAGGATTTTTGGGAAAACCTCTACCAGCAGGTAAACCGTAATGTCTGACCAAAACGTTTGATTTTATGTAATTGTACACACAATGCATCTTTATTTATATAGCGCTTTCACAACAGCCGCAGCTGTAACGAAACGCTTCACGGAATCAATTTTATAGATGACTGCGAGCCAAGAGGAGAAATTGACTTGGTTTTGAACAGAATAAAAAATTGGATTTCTGGGCAAACCTTTCCAGAAAAGCTAGCCATGAAAAACCATTGCGTAAACAATGACCGTACGTGCACGATGGCGCCCATCGTGCATGCTCGACTGCTTAACTTTGTTAACGTCGCTTAGCAAGTCTACTCTGTCATGGTCAATTAACAATTGATATAGATACTAGGGCCCGACCGATGCAGATTTTTTTCAATATTTATCAGAATAAAATCCCGATGACATCAATGTCATTTATTTATCAAAAGTGCACCTCAACCACTTGAACTGCAATTCTTGTCCCCTCCCACCCCAGAAAACTACTATTATCTCCCAGGCAAACGGGATCCATTGCTTTGTGGAAACGGCAGTGAGGCTGGGTAAGTTGATCCCAAAGGCAAACAAACATTAAAGGTGACATAAGATTAAATATAATATTAATATTAATATTAAACTGGGAATCTCAAACGGCCACTGAATATGTCTTGTAAGCTGCCTATGAGAAATCGTGTCTTGAAGTAAGCTGTTCGGATTTTCACAGTATCTTGTCATTGAAAAAAAGAAAAAAAAAACGGTTTCAAATTGCATAAAATGGAATGTCTCCTCTGTCAAAGCACAGCATCACAAATTTGCTGGATTTAGCTGTAGGATACAACGTGTGACACTTTTTTCTTGTCTTTTTGATGCAGGCAGTGTCCAGAAGGGTTTTCGTGCATCAAAGTGGGAAAGAACCCCGACTATGGTTACACCAGTTTTGACTCGTTTGGGTGGGCCTTCCTTTCCCTCTTTAGGCTCATGACTCAGGATTTTTGGGAAAACCTCTACCAGCAGGTAAACCGTAATGTCTGACCAAAACGTTTGATTTTATGTAATTGTACACACAATGCATCTTTATTTATATAGCGCTTTCACAACAGCCGCAGCTGTAACGAAACGCTTCACGGAATCAATTTTATAGATGACTGCGAGCCAAGAAAGTGATGTGGCTGCACAAAGAGCACCGAGTTGAATTTTTATCAGTAAAATACACTCATTGTATCAAAATACGTTTAGCCTTTTTTTTCAAGGCAGCTCTGATCTAATCCGAGCCAACACTTAACCTTTTTGGTGAAGGATTTCAGATCTAAAATAATTCAATTTCAGTTGGCAAGGAATTCCGAAGCCTCTTACGGAAGAGCTTGATTGCTCAAATGAGGAACGTATTGCTTCACTCAATGTTCAAGGGTCATTCATAGCTTAATGGATGAGCGGCATTTGTCCTGGCTGTTTGTCTAAATACAAAACCAGCACAGGCTTGGCCTCTGTCAAAGCCTTCTCACATTACAATATTTGGAAAAATACGTTTTGAAGAGCTTGTTCAAACAAAAGCATGATGCGCAGGTGTGTCTTCACCAGAATGAATAAAAGACGAGTCGAGGCGTGACTCAGACAAACACGGTCCTGCACGATGGCGCCCATCGTGCATGCTCGACTGCTTAACTTTGTTAACGTCGCTTAGCAAGTCTACTCTGTCATGGTCAATTAACAATTGATATAGATACTAGGGCCCGACCGATGCAGATTTTTTTCAATATTTATCAGAATAAAATCCCGATAACGGATTAATCGGCTGATTAATTGAAAAAATATATTCCGGCAATGGAATAAAAAAATCATTTTATTTATTTAGTCCAATAACGCTAACAACAACAAAGATATGCATTATGGGTAGAGATGTCCCGATCCGATCAGGTGATCGGAAATCAGGGCCGACCATGTGATTTTCAAATGATCATATCTGCTGAAAAAGATCCGATTTTGGAATTTTGGAAAAATGTCATTGTCTTTGTCCAGCCTGTCGGCAAGCTCATATAGTTTGCTATTTGCACATACATTGTTGCTTTCTTTTTTGCCTGCTTTGAGCCATTAAAAAAAAAAAAAAAAAAGTGTGGGAGCTTGACCGATACGCTTGACATCTACTTAACACAATGAAGTTCAAAGAAAAACCTCAACATTTGGGAGGACGATAGGGAGTTGTCTCAAAGGCACCTTTGTTGTACTGACACAACAACCGTATTTCTAAACATTTATTTTGACCGCAAATATCTGCTGTATATTGCCACTCAGTGATTCCAGCAGGTTAATCGATAGAAAATGCCTGGCAACTGCCTCATCATTTATAGGAATTGCAAATGTAACTGTCATCTCTTTGTTCCCGATAGACATTACGGGCCTCTGGAAAGCCCTACATGGTATTCTTTGTGCTGGTCATATTCCTTGGCTCCTTCTACCTAATTAACCTGATCTTGGCTGTGGTTGCGATGGCGTACGAGGAGCAGAGCCAGGCCACCATTAAGGAGGCTCAGGAGAAGGAGGAGGAGTTTCAGGCCATGCTGGAGCAACTCAAGCGACAGCAAGAAGACGCTCAGGTGGCTCAGCCTATTTTTTTGTTACTACGACCAGGGTTGGGAGTAAGGCAGTTACAAAAATGCAGTGGTGTCTCGCCGAACGAAAAATCCCAATTTATGACTTTTTCAAGTTAGGAAACGTCGATTTTGTCCATTATGTTTTTTGCTTTTGTGTTGCCAGTCAAAATTTGACTTCGCAGCACACTTCAGATACACACTTAAGTGAAGTGGGGGGAAAAGTGGGGGGAAAAAAAAAATCGCAGATGCACTTTCGGCCGCTGACTGAAGGAGACACATAGTCGAGCACACAAATATGAAATGAATAAACTGGCAAGGAGGCTGGAGCAAATGCTGACACAGACTAACTGCAGCTGCTGACGTCACTCCAAACCGTGCCTGCTTAAAGATACTCAACATTCCACTTTATAGTTCCACTTTAAACTTTGCTATTGTTGAAAATGTTAAAAAAAAAAGTTGTTTTTTTCCGTTCAGCTTATTTTAATAGGGAAACTAGAAAAAAGTGGCATGTAAGGGGGGGGGGGGCGGCCCAGCTCCAATCTCCCAGCACCATAACAATTTCAGTGGGCAAAAAAATTCGATGGCGCCCAACATGCATGCTCGACTGCTTAACTTTGTTAACATCGCTTAGCAAGTCTACTCTGTCATGGTCAAATAACAATTGATATAGATACTAGGGCCCGACCGATGTCGATTTTTTTCAATATTTATCAGAATAAAATCCCGATAACGGATTAATCGGCTGATTAATTGAAAAAATATATTCCGGCAATGGAATAAAAAAATCATTTTATTTATTTAGTCCAATAACGCTAACAACAACAAAGATATGCATTATGGGTAGAGATGTCCCGATCCGATCAGGTGATCGGAAATCAGGGCCATGTGATTTTCAAATGATCATATCTGCTGAAAAAGATCCAAAATCAATTTTGGAAAAATGTCTTGCCTTTGTCCACCCTGTCGGCAAGCTCACATAGTTTGCTATTTGCACATACATTGTTGCTTTCTTTTTTGCCTGCTTTGAGCCAATGTATGAAAAAAAAAAATGTGTGGGAGCTTGACCGACACGCTTGACATCTACTTAACACAATGAAGTTCAAAGAAAAACCTCAACATTTGGGAGGACGATAGGGAGTTGTCTCAAAGGCACCTTTGTTGTACTGACACAACAACCGTATTTCTAAACATTTATTTTGACCGCAAATATCTGCTGTATATTGCCACTCAGTGATTCCAGCAGGTTAATCGATAGAAAATGCCTGGCAACTGCCTCATCATTTATAGGAATTGCAAATGTAACTGTCATCTCTTTGTTCCCGATAGACATTACGGGCCTCTGGAAAGCCCTACATGGTATTCTTTGTGCTGGTCATATTCCTTGGCTCCTTCTACCTAATTAACCTGATCTTGGCTGTGGTTGCGATGGCGTACGAGGAGCAGAGCCAGGCCACCATTAAGGAGGCTCAGGAGAAGGAGGAGGAGTTTCAGGCCATGCTGGAGCAACTCAAGCGACAGCAAGAAGACGCTCAGGTGGCTCAGCCTATTTTTTTGTTACTACGACCAGGGTTGGGAGTAAGGCAGTTACAAAAATGCAGTGGTGTCTCGCCGAACGAAAAATCCCAATTTATGACTTTTTCAAGTTAGGAAACGTCGATTTTGTCCATTATGTTTTTTGCTTTTGTGTTGCCAGTCAAAATTTGACTTCGCAGCACACTTCAGATATGTATGAAAAAAAAAAATGTGTGGGAGCTTGACCGACACGCTTGACATCTACTTAACACAATGAAGTTCAAAGAAAAACCTCAACATTTGGGAGGACGATAGGGAGTTGTCTCAAAGGCACCTTTGTTGTACTGACACAACAACCGTATTTCTAAACATTTATTTTGACCGCAAATATCTGCTGTATATTGCCACTCAGTGATTCCAGCAGGTTAATCGATAGAAAATGCCTGGCAACTGCCTCATCATTTATAGGAATTGCAAATGTAACTGTCATCTCTTTGTTCCCGATAGACATTACGGGCCTCTGGAAAGCCCTACATGGTATTCTTTGTGCTGGTCATATTCCTTGGCTCCTTCTACCTAATTAACCTGATCTTGGCTGTGGTTGCGATGGCGTACGAGGAGCAGAGCCAGGCTACCATTAAGGAGGCTCAGGAGAAGGAGGAGGAGTTTCAGGCCATGCTGGAGCAACTCAAGCGACAGCAAGAAGACGCTCAGGTGGCTCAGCCTATTTTTTTGTTACTACGACCAGGGTTGGGAGTAAGGCAGTTACAAAAATGCAGTGGTGTCTCGCCGAACGAAAAATCCCAATTTATGACTTTTTCAAGTTAGGAAACGTCGATTTTGTCCATTATGTTTTTTGCTTTTGTGTTGCCAGTCAAAATTTGACTTCGCAGCACACTTCAGATACACACTTAAGTGAAGTGGGGGGAAAAGTGGGGGGAAAAAAAAAATCGCAGATGCACTTTCGGCCGCTGACTGAAGGAGACACATAGTCGAGCACACAAATATGAAATGAATAAACTGGCAAGGAGGCTGGAGCAAATGCTGACACAGACTAACTGCAGCTGCTGACGTCACTCCAAACCGTGCCTGCTTAAAGATACTCAACATTCCACTTTATAGTTCCACTTTAAACTTTGCTATTGTTGAAAATGTTAAAAAAAAAAGTTGTTTTTTTCCGTTCAGCTTATTTTAATAGGGAAACTAGAAAAAAGTGGCATGTAAGGGGGGGGGGGGCGGCCCAGCTCCAATCTCCCAGCACCATAACAATTTCAGTGGGCAAAAAAAAAAAAAAAAAAAAGCAGAGCCAGGCTACCATTAAGGAGGCTCAGGAGAAGGAGGAGGAGTTTCAGGCCATGCTGGAGCAACTCAAGCGACAGCAAGAAGACGCTCAGGTGGCTCAGCCTATTTTTTTGTTACTACGACCGGGGTTGGGAGTAAGGCAGTTACAAAAACGCGGCAGTGTCTTGCCGTACGAAAAATCCCAATTTACGACTTTTTCAAGTTAGGAACCGTCGCTTTTGTCCATTATTTTTTTTTTTTTGCTTTTGTGTTGCCAGTCAAAATTTGACTTCGCAGCACACTTCAGATACAGTTGGTCTTGGGTGGTGACAAGTATGTAAATAGTTGCGGCATGTTGCTGCAAACCAAATTAGAATTTAAGAGCAAATGATTGAGTCATTTTCAGAGTAAAACGTTAATATCTTGTCTTTTTACTGCTGAAAATGGCAAAATAAGTTTAGTATCCTTTTAAGAAGGGGATGACAATGGAAGCCTCCCTTGTTTTGTGTCGTTACAAAACATTGCTATTGTTGAAAATGTTAAAAAAAAAAAAAAAGTTGCGTTCAGCTCATTTTAATAGGGAAACTAGAAAAAAGTGGCGTGTAAGGGTCGGGGGACAGTGGGGCGGCCCAGCTCCAATCTCCCAGCACCGTAACAATTTCAGTGGGCAAAAAAAAAAAAAAAAAAAAATCTTTTGCCATGCAAAAAACAAGGTGTCTGTCAACCAAAACAGCTGTACGACCACCTCTCGCACATCATCGACCATCATGTACGAAAGGACATCAAAACCATAGTAAGGGGAATCCATCTCGGACATAATGGCTAGCAGACGAATGGAAAAATCTTTCTTCAGCACTCTCCAATTCGATAAAAAATTCCATGTGGCATCCATATTACGACGATAAGGTACCTGACCGCCCCTAAAATTTTCTCAACGGATTTAGACGATTCACAAAAATGATCAATTTAAGAAATAAAACGGCGGATTTCCGCGGATCCGCGGAAAATTGCCATGTATGATATTAAATAAGGGGCCATCCAGCCTCACAGACGTCAACAAAAAAGTTTCACGGGGAAAACAATCTTGCCCCCCGGTATTCACTGTGCTTTGCACGCCACTGTAAATACGTGCCGTATATATTTTTTGACAACATAAGTGAAGAGTAAAGTAAAAAAGTTCGACAGCATTTGGCCTGTTGAGACCATTACCATTTGTAGTGTGTTGTTTTGGTGCCGTCTTGTTAAAGGCCATCAGTCTATTCATGTGAAATGTCATAACATCCAATCCAATAAGAGGGATGCGTGATTGCGTTACTCGAGATTAAATTGCTTTTCCAAACCGATGTTTCCAAATCTGACATTTTCCTCCGCTCCTCCCCCAGGCCACTGCAGTGGCGTCTGCAGAGCACGGTGAGGTCAGCGACCACCCCGGTGGCACGGAGAGCTCCTCAGAAACGTCCAAGCTGAGCTCCAAAAGTGCCAAAGAGCGATGCAACAGGCGAAGGAAAAGAAAGGATGAGGGCAAGGTCCCACAGTCCGAGTCTCAGGAGAGTATTAAGAAGGCCCGATGTCGCTTCTCGGTGGAGCCCAATGTGCTCAACTATGACATGAAGTGCTCGTCGGCCCACCAGGTTCAGTACCATTTGGTGCTTGATGTGTCCGTGGTGTCCTCCGTTTTGTCTTGCAATGTCGTGTCACTCTAAGGGCCTGATCTACTCAAGGTTTGCGCACGCAAAAATGGGAGCAAACTTGATGTCGCACGCACATGTGGAAGCCGATTTACAAAGCGGCCGTACCCAGGATTGCTAACGTGCAAAATGACCACACATGAATTTTGCCTGTTTCTATCTGGAGGCTCAAAATGTCATGAGGAGTCGACAGAAATAGATTCTTTTTGCATGTGAATACAGACTTGTCAAATCTGCCACGAGTCGAACGTCATCTTTTCCATTCATTGAAAATAGTTTTGAAATGCCAGAAACAAAAACTACTAAGACAGATCCAGGGGGATATAAAAAGCCTTCGCGCGCCCTGTTGAAATTGTTCTGCCTCTTCTACTGACATTTCCAATTCCTCGATTTCAAACAGAATTTTGTGCTTGTTGCGCTCTCCCAAATGTTGCACGGTGAAAAATAGAACAGCTGCTTCGAGCGCAGAACCCATTTTTGAATATGACGGTCACCACCACGATTGCCAACAACGACCACCAGCAGCAGGTGCAATCTGTTAACCCGAACATGCAATTTAGCGCCCACTTTTTGGTACACCTTCGTAAATCAGGCCCGAAATGTTTCGATTTTAGACGGCTGCTATTAAGGAGTAGTTTTACTTGAGTTGCTTACCATGCTTACGGCTCACACACATTGTTACATACTGTCCATTCGTCCATCTCATATACAGTGGAACCCTATGAAGTCGAATACAATTTCAAAGTATACCAACATTTTCTGGGTGGGAAAATATGTCCCTAAAGTTGAATGAAATGATGAGTTTGACAGCTCAAACTGCACCCCGGTTCAGCACGTGGCATTTAATATTGCTATGACAGTTACTAAAGGGTTTCGACGTCATCAGGCGGATTTTGGATTGGATGATTTCCAGCATATCATCTGGGAAAATTTGTGACAGATTCCAAAAAAATAGCAGGTCGACCTCAGCGGTTCCACTGTACGCAGCAAATTAACGAAGACGTGTGACTTATGAGGAGTAAATAAAATTGCAACTATCCTCTTTCCCAGAGTTTCGCTTTTCATGAGCTGCATTGCATTCAGCAGCAATGATATTAGGTCCACTTGCACAATCTATTGAGATCCCCTACACAGGTTTTCTAAAAAATTCCGCATTAGTAACCTGTTAATGACACCGAATGTCATCATCTACGAATAGCTTTATTATGGCGCGACTGGATTGTGTAGGTGTACTTAATGTTACTTTTATGCAGCGATTCCATTCTTTGAAAGCACTGCTGTGCATATTTTACTGATTTGTTATGCATTGCATGTCCAGGCTGACATTGTGCCTTCTTCATTCCGTAATATTTTCTTTTCATTCGAATCAAGCCTGAAAAGTAAGCTTCTTTATGAGCTTGTGGCGCATCATCACCATCACAAACAGAATCTTATTCTTCTCAACTCTTGTCATTGCTGATGATGTCACCAGGACGCTTTTTTTTCTGCTTTCCTTGAAATGCTTTTCACCAGTATGGCCATCATCATTACCAGTTCCTTCCTTCCTTCCTCAATGATCGTCATCGTGGTTTGCAGTCATTGCAACTATGGCTTTTAATTTGCTTTGTTTTCAACGCTGATTGCGCATTGGTCATCTTTATCACGCCATTCTTCATCTGCCCCTCGAATGTCATAAAGTTGTTTCTTCTTCACACTCCCCGTGTATTCGTCCTTGCTACTGAAGAATATCTTTCTCTCTTAGTCCTTTCTGAGTATTCACGGACCCCCATTCTCATCCAGACGGAACAGCAGGACCAGCGTTTTCAGTTTCCAAAGCCAATCACGAGATGCCGGCTCAGAAAATGAGTTTGCAGATGATGAGAACAGCATTTTTGAGGACAACCGGAGTCGAAGAACCTCTTTGTTTTTTACCCGGGGGCGTGACCGCCAAGGCAGCAGTATCAGCCAGTCCAGCTTCTTTCCACATCCGCTGCTTTCACCCTGCAGGATGAAACAGAGCACTGTAGACTGCAACGGAGTAGTGTCCATAATGGGTGTCGATTCAATCCCGTTATCACCTATGGGGCGCTTTCGTCCTAAACTGACACTAGATAGGACCTCCAATAGAGACAAAGTAAGAAAGGGTCATCCCGTCTCGTTTCACCTCTGCCATATCATCCGTAGTAATTCTCTGCTTGTTGTCCTGACTGTGTTGTAAAGCATGCGCATCTAAACCAATTCAAAATTATATTTAAAAAAAAGATTGTCAGTGGCAGAGGGTAAGTGAAGCTGAAAAGATGAGCGTCTTGGCATAGGCGGTGAAGATTTTTCTTGAGAAAGCAAAAATTCTTGGACCGTTCTGAAATGCCAGAGGAAATGTGTTATTTTAAAACAATCAAAAGGTACCTTAAGAGTATCAGATTGGACGCCTTGCCAAAACGGTCCGGTTCAGTTCGGTTTCCGTTCATTTGATTGCAATTCCATTTCAAAGGGTTCCATAAGATCAAACTTTTCAGTATCCATTCGTTTGACGTCCCAGGTACCCTTGATCAGGGCAAACTGAACTGAATTGTATGGATCATACGGTGATGGAAAAAGTTATAACAGCCTTTGGACTTGATAGATGCGATATTACACTGTTTGGTCTTTTGTCATGATAACTCTCGAGTCGCGCCACTCTTACAAACATGATTTTCTCCCTCAAGGCTGACACTACCGACACTGATGGGGGAACAAACCAGGAATGGACCGACTTTCCTGAGGACCCACGAGCCAGGGACAGAACTGTTAGCGTAGCCAGTGTCATAACCAGCACAATGGAAGGTAGGTTGTGGAAGCCACGATATTCGTGTCCGGTTTTCATTTCTCAGATGTTGACAAAAGCAATCCAATCCTTTTTTTAAATTTTTTTATTTTTAATGCAACAGAGCTCGAAGAATCGAGACAGAAGTGTCATCCCTGCTGGTACAGTTTCGCAAACACTTTCCTCATCTGGGAGTGTTGTCCAATCTGGCTGAAGATCAAGAAGGTGGTCAAACTCATTGTGATGGATCCATTTACGGATTTAACCATCACCATCTGCATTGTACTCAACACCTTATTCATGGCCATGGAGCATTACCCAATGACTAAGGATTTCTCCAGGACGCTGAGTGTGGGCAATATGGTGAGTGGAAGACACCGTAAAGACCATTTCAGTTGACCTGACTTTTGGGGCGTGGCTAAATGGTTCCATATGACGTACTTCGGCATGCCCGCTCAGTCGCCCTTCCTACATTTTAGAAGAACTCGAGCTCCTTCATTTAAATCAACAGTTATCCTGCGCAATCGTTCCTTTGACGTAGTCCGCAAGGGGGGCCACTTTAGAGCGACTTGGTGTCCGCTGTGAGTGCAAAAACATCACGGAGAGAAAAGGCAGGAAGAGTTCCATTTTCGATACTTTTCAGTGGAAAGGTTGTTCACCACACGCTTCCCTGTGATGTGTCAAATTCGAGTGTTCAGTGATGAGTAGCTTGTTCATTTAAAAACCGTGGTCATGAAAAGAGGTTCTTTCTGTTTCTTCAAGGTATTCACGAGCATCTTCACAGCGGAAATGGTCTTCAAACTCATCGCTATGGATCCATACTACTACTTTCAGGAAGGGTGGAACATTTTTGATGGAATCATTGTCAGTTTAAGCTTAATGGAGCTTGGTTTGTCCAATGTTGTTGGAATGTCCGTCTTGAGATCGTTCCGATTGGTAAGTTTCACCCCGCCAAACATTCCGTGCAAGAAGTTGAAGAGTCCTTTCCAATCTTTTTTTTTCTTTTGTCTTTTTCTTTCGACAGCTACGGGTGTTCAAGTTGGCCAAGTCGTGGCCGACTCTGAACACCCTGATCAAAATAATCGGTAACTCTGTGGGGGCTTTGGGAAACCTGACGCTGGTGCTGGCTATTATCGTCTTCATCTTTGCCGTAGTGGGCATGCAGCTGTTTGGGAAAAGCTACAAGGATTGTGTGTGTAAAATCTCCAGCGACTGCACCCTGCCCCGCTGGCACATGAGTGACTTTTTCCATTCGTTCCTCATTGTGTTCCGAGTGCTTTGTGGGGAGTGGATAGAGACCATGTGGGACTGCATGGAGGTGGCTGGACCGACCATGTGCATCATTGTCTATATGATGGTCATGGTGATTGGAAACCTTGTGGTACATTTTCATCTCTTGTGGTCAATTCATGAGTCCAAGTCATCCAAATCTAAAAGTCAAGCTAATTGACGCAAATGATTGATTTTTGTATATGAAAGTTATTGCGGTCTGAACAGTATTCAGACTTTCTTTTCATTGGCCTTATTGTGATCTATTAGGTGCTCAACCTGTTCCTGGCCTTGCTGCTGAGTTCATTCAGCGCAGACAACCTGGCTGCCACAGAGGACGACAGCGACACCAACAATTTGCAGATCGCCATTGCACGGATCCACAAAGGCATCGCCTTTGTCAAATCCCTGCTTCAAAGCACCTGTAACAGCGTCTGCCTCAGGAGTAACGAGCAAAACCAGGGAGAGGACAAATCATCCCTGGAGGATTTCCATAAAGCTTCGGGACCCAACGGCATCCCCAACCATACCATTAAACAGCTACCGAGGAACGGAAACGGGGATGTGACAGGGGTGGACAAAAGTGGGGACAAGTACATCGTCTGCAGCAAGACCGACGATTCCATCATGTCTTTCATCAACAACCCCAGTCTGACTCTCAATGTTCCCATCGCGGTGGGGGAGTCCGACTTTGAAAACCTCAACACGGAGGACTTCAGCAGTGTCTCATCCGATGCAGCGGGATGCCGTGTGGTAAGGCTGCTCTTCAAAATTTCTCTCTGCAATTTTATTTATTTATTTATTTTATCAGCTGCACATTTTGGCATCTAGATTTCAAAAAGGGACAAAAATAGGCAAGAGGGTGGAGTGCAGGCCCATTGCACCGAGCTGTGCGGCTCAGTTCGAGACGCACAAAGCTTTTCAGGGAAATTTCAAAATGACCCAAAAATGCATCTTTTCAGACGAATTCACAATTACTGTCAGGGTAACTTACAGCACTGTTATTATTGATACAGCTGTTGTGCGCAGTGCGCTCTTGTCCCTCCTCTGGCTGCTCAACGCCTCGATCTAAATGCAAACAAGTTTACCTTTGCAAATCACAACAGACCTGAGCAGTGGCAGCGTGGGCTTGAGACTAATTGTGCATTGAAACCAAGAGTCAGACGTCCACATAACAATTTTGGTCTGGTTCTCACAGCACCACCAGAGGATGTTGGCTCATTTGCCTTGGATGCGCTTTTTTTTCCCCCATCCACCTCACTGGCGGTGTCGAGTCTACAATTTATGACGATATACGATTAATTATCATGATTCAGTCGAGCTCCGTCGCGGGACTGCGCTATATGAGAAGAACGGCGCCAGCCCAACTCAGAGAAATAATGTCTTGTCATTGGGTCATTTGTTCTCCCTCACAGGAGCACAAGCTAGTTTTTACAGCACAGCTCTATGAGGGCAAGGTAAGGGCACAACTATATGGTGGTCATGTTTGAAATAGGAGCGGCTAGAAAAGAAAAAGTGGACAGGGCGTAGGACGCACCTCTTCTCTTGCTTCCACTCTGGCTTTGCGCCTTGAACCGCTTCCACCGGGTCTGTTTAAAAAGATAGCGATCGCGCCATCTCACCAAAGTTCTTATAGTCCCTGTAAAAGTGAAAATAAAATTGGTCTTTTGAATTACCACAAAAAGAGTATAATTAACAACACTGCCAAATTTGAATGATGAAAAAAAAAAATGCAGTGAATGACAGACAACGAGGCGCTCTAAGCAGCCACACCGATGTGTAATATTACGATGCATTTTCGGCATGGAGTCGCTAGCTAGCAAACTGCACATCGCAATTGCGCTGGTTTCCTGCTGATGAGACCAAAGGTGTTTGTGATTTTATACAGTGCGGTAGGGGCGACTCATGCGGGTGCCCAAGTACGTCCAGCCCCCCCCCCCCCCCCCCCCCCCCGTACAAGGATTGTGTGTGTAAAATCTCCAGCGACTGCACCCTGCCCCGCTGGCACATGAGTGACTTTTTCCATTCGTTCCTCATTGTGTTCCGAGTGCTTTGTGGGGAGTGGATAGAGACCATGTGGGACTGCATGGAGGTGGCTGGACCGACCATGTGCATCATTGTCTATATGATGGTCATGGTGATTGGAAACCTTGTGGTACATTTTCATCTCTTGTGGTCAATTCATGAGTCCAAGTCATCCAAATCTAAAAGTCAAGCTAATTGACGCAAATGATTGATTTTTGTATATGAAAGTTATTGCGGTCTGAACAGTATTCAGACTTTCTTTTCATTGGCCTTATTGTGATCTATTAGGTGCTCAACCTGTTCCTGGCCTTGCTGCTGAGTTCATTCAGCGCAGACAACCTGGCTGCCACAGAGGACGACAGCGACACCAACAATTTGCAGATCGCCATTGCACGGATCCACAAAGGCATCGCCTTTGTCAAATCCCTGCTTCAAAGCACCTGTAACAGCGTCTGCCTCAGGAGTAACGAGCAAAACCAGGGAGAGGACAAATCATCCCTGGAGGATTTCCATAAAGCTTCGGGACCCAACGGCATCCCCAACCATACCATTAAACAGCTACCGAGGAACGGAAACGGGGATGTGACAGGGGTGGACAAAAGTGGGGACAAGTACATCGTCTGCAGCAAGACCGACGATTCCATCATGTCTTTCATCAACAACCCCAGTCTGACTCTCAATGTTCCCATCGCGGTGGGGGAGTCCGACTTTGAAAACCTCAACACGGAGGACTTCAGCAGTGTCTCATCCGATGCAGCGGGATGCCGTGTGGTAAGGCTGCTCTTCAAAATTTCTCTCTGCAATTTTATTTATTTATTTATTTTATCAGCTGCACATTTTGGCATCTAGATTTCAAAAAGGGACAAAAATAGGCAAGAGGGTGGAGTGCAGGCCCATTGCACCGAGCTGTGCGGCTCAGTTCGAGACGCACAAAGCTTTTCAGGGAAATTTCAAAATGACCCAAAAATGCATCTTTTCAGACGAATTCACAATTACTGTCAGGGTAACTTACAGCACTGTTATTATTGATACAGCTGTTGTGCGCAGTGCGCTCTTGTCCCTCCTCTGGCTGCTCAACGCCTCGATCTAAATGCAAACAAGTTTACCTTTGCAAATCACAACAGACCTGAGCAGTGGCAGCGTGGGCTTGAGACTAATTGTGCATTGAAACCAAGAGTCAGACGTCCACATAACAATTTTGGTCTGGTTCTCACAGCACCACCAGAGGATGTTGGCTCATTTGCCTTGGATGCGCTTTTTTTTCCCCCATCCACCTCACTGGCGGTGTCGAGTCTACAATTTATGACGATATACGATTAATTATCATGATTCAGTCGAGCTCCGTCGCGGGACTGCGCTATATGAGAAGAACGGCGCCAGCCCAACTCAGAGAAATAATGTCTTGTCATTGGGTCATTTGTTCTCCCTCACAGGAGCACAAGCTAGTTTTTACAGCACAGCTCTATGAGGGCAAGGTAAGGGCACAACTACATGGTGGTCATGTTTGAAATAGGAGCGGCTAGAAAAGAAAAAATGGACAGGGGGTAGGACGCACCTCTTCTCTTGCTTCCACTCTGGCTTTGCGCCTTGAACTGTTTCCACCGGGTCTGTTTAAAAAGATAGCGATAGCGCCATCTCACCCAAGTTCTTTTAGTCCCTGTAAAAGTGAAAATAAAATTGGTCTTTTGAATTACCACAAAAAGAGTATAATTAACAACACTGCCAAATTTGAATGATGAAAAAAAAAAATGCAGTGAATGACAGACAACGAGGCGCTCTAAGCAGCCACACCGATGTGTAATATTACGATGCATTTTCGGCATGGAGTCGCTAGCTAGCAAACTGCACATCGCAATTGCGCTGGTTTCCTGCTGATGAGACCAAAGGTGTTTGTGATTTTATACAGTGCGGTAGGGGCGACTCATGCGGGTGCCCAAGTACGTCCAGCCCCCCCCCCCTCCCGCCCCCCCGTTTTAGCCACGCACCTCAGAAATCAGGAAATATGAAATAGTGAAAGTGAAAAACTGAAGACTACAAAAGCTGTCAGTCTTTGCTCATATTTTCAGCAATTATCTTCAGACATGTATAATGTTTCTGAAAAAAATGTTTGAATTCATAATGAGTGCCCGTACAGCCCTGAGTGCCACATCGCATTAGGTGCCATTTAGGTGTACAAGCCCAGTTTGTTTTGTTCTAACGCAAAGCTGAGGAAACACTATACCCTTGTTGAACATGTTACTGTAAAATATTTGCCTGCACAATGTGTAATATTGAGGAAGAAGGCTTGTAAAAGCACTTTACTGTACATTTCACTCATAATGGAGATCTAATCACACACACGCACACACACAAAAACCCTTTTAGCTGACTGGCCTTTTTCTTTTTAACTTAATTCACCTCCGCTGTTTGCTTCTTCACCGATACGGTTGCTTTTTGTTCACATTTTCTCTTCACTTCACCGACGCTGAAACGTCTGCAGTTGTAATACTTGCAATGGGGAGCTTTACATTCCATATAAAGGAGTGTAGCGTGAATCTCATGCCATTTATTTGTCCACAAAAATATCACAATCGACGTATTTCAAGTGTACATTTAAAGCTTAATTTGGTGGCACAAACACATTAACTCGAGTTCCTCAAGCAGTTACGTGCTTACATCACTCCCCGCACTGCATTAGCCAGTCCCAGGACAGTGGAGGGCTCGTGCAGTGTTCACCGAGAAACCTTTCAAGGCTGTTCTCATCCTGTAACTCTTAGCGGACACACCCTGTGCAAAGGCTGGGTGAGAGCAACACCGCCTGCATGGAGACATGCGCCAACATTCTGACCGCAATTTGATTTTGTGCCTTCGCAGAGGTCGTGATGCTTACTGTAAGAGACATCGACAACAAGTTCAGTTACGGTGTTTGCAGAGTAACGTCATGTCGGAACTGCACTGTCATTGTATGGACAGAACTATTGGGACACAAAAGTGAAAGTTGAGTAAAATATACAAAGCGGCTTTCTTCAAAACGTTTCCGCAAACCATTTTTTTACCAAAAGGGCTCGATAAAATGACTAAGAATCGAGTGGTTTGTGTTTTGAAGCTTTTCATTTTTTTAAAGGGCAAGTTTTAGGTTTTTAGACCCACGTGTCTTCCTTACATCAACATCTGGCATTTATTTTGCTTCCGGTCGATGTTAGTCTAACATCAAAACCTTGTTTGGCCTCATCCACTTAGACCATCAATGACGATGGGCAGCTCAGCACCTCCGAGGCCAGCACAGTGGACTTGGGGGAAAAAGATGGCGACTCTCTCGACTATGAATTAGAGGAATCCATGGAACCGGATGCCTGCTTTCCCGACGGTGGGTATTGGCCCAAACGCGATGACGACTGGTCTCTGCGGCCAATTCGAGCCCTGCTTGTCATTTGTTGCTTTCTTCCAGGCTGTGTGCAGAGGTTCCAGTGTTGCCAGGTAAACGTTGAGGTGGGCAGGTGGAAAATATGGTGGACTATCAGAAAGACCTGTTTCCGGATCGTGGAGCACAACTGGTTCGAGAGCTTCATCATTTTCATGATCCTGCTCAGCAGTGGCGCCTTAGTAAGTTTCGTACTCCACGGCCGTAGCGTTGCGAGTTGAGCGTGAACAGTTTTGATCATCATCCTTACTTGCTGTGTTCAAAAAATAGGCGTTTGAGGATGTCTACATTGAGACCAGGAAGACCATCAAAGCAATGTTGGAGTACGCGGACAAAATGTTCACCTACATTTTCATCTTGGAGATGTTACTCAAGTGGGTGGCCTATGGCTACGCCAAGTATTTCACAAATGCCTGGTGTTGGCTCGACTTCCTCATTGTGGCTGTAAGTTGGACTTTCAGATCTTGATCCTAATTTGGTCAATGGATGTGGTAAAGGAATGGATTATTGTTTTCCAAAGTGATGCGAAAAAAAACAAACTTATCCTCACATACTTTTGTCGTTTTTGTGTTTTGGTTTCAGGTTTCACTGGTCAGTTTGGTGGCCAACGCGATGGGATTTGCTGAACTTGGGGCCATCAAGTCTCTGAGAACCCTGAGAGCTCTGAGGCCCTTGAGAGCCCTTTCGAGATTCGAGGGGATGAGGGTAAGTCTTTGGGAAATTCACCAGAAAAGAAAACCGTCGCTCCTTATCTTACGACATCTATTTTCCACTGGACCTTTGTACTTTTCCCACTGAAAGTTCAGTTCAACTTCATTTGACGTCTAATGACAGTGTCAAATTCCTGAAAATTTACAATCCGTCTGTTCAAATATTCACTCGGAAATGGATGTCAATTCTGCCATTTGACAGATTGCCTTATGTATGTGTTTGATGTTCCGCAGGTGGTTGTCAACGCACTTCTTGGGGCAATTCCTTCCATCTTCAATGTCCTGTTGGTGTGCCTCATCTTCTGGCTCATTTTCAGTATCATGGGCGTCAACTTATTTGCGGGAAAGTACTACCGCTGTGTCAACAGAACCACAGACGAACCTTTCCTGCCCACTAAAGTGAAGAACATGACGCAGTGTTTGGCCTTGGGGAAAGATGTTGCTCGCTGGAAGAATATTAAAATCAACTTTGACAATGTTGGACTGGGTTACCTCGCACTTCTACAAGTGGTGAGTTATGATTACATCATCTGATGAAGAGGCTTTTAAACATGGCTGATTTGGAATATGTCCATAGGCTACGTTTAAGGGATGGATGGACATCATGTATGCCGCAGTCGATTCCGCAAGCAAGGTGCTTTTGTTTAGCTTTAACAATGGATTCCGTTTGTTGAATTTTTTAGTCCGGGTCAGGACCCAAAACAATGGCTCACAGGTGTTGTGTCTCATACTTTTCTAGCCTGGAGAACAGCCGGCATATGAGATCAACCTGAAGATGTATCTGTATTTTGTGGTTTTCATCATATTCGGTGCCTTCTTCACACTCAATCTCTTCATTGGTGTCATAATTGACAATTTCAATCAGCAAAAGCGAAAGATAAGTATTTCGTATCGTACTAAAGTGCCGTATTTGATTTTGATAAAGAGTGGAACCTCTGAAGAAAAACACAAGTCAATATCTGGTGTGACGATATTTGCCTAATGACCCGACACTGCAAGGATCTGTATGCAGGTCCTGGAAGATGAAAACAGTCCAATTCTTCATTTTAAAAAATGTTTTATTGATTTTTTTGTTATTCTTCGAATCGTACGTCTGATGTGGTGATCAACGTTCGAGGTTCTGGTGTATTTGCACGGAAATCAGATCGTTTTATGTTCAGAAAGTATTCGCTATGCAGTGATTTAACATCCATGACATGCCCTCTATACTTTGGAGGCCAAGACATCTTCATGACTGAAGAACAGAAGAAATACTACAATGCCATGAAAAAGCTGGGCTCAAAGAAACCACAAAAACCCATTCCCAGACCATCGGTTCGTAGCTTTCAATCTAATCTGCATTCCAAATCTTTGCATTCGTTCTCATCGCTTATTTTTTTTACCCTCCATTCCAGAACAAGATTCAAGCCTACATATTTGACATCACCACAAAACAAGCATTCGATGTTGTGATCATGGTTCTGATATGGCTGAACATGGTTGCCATGATGGTGGAAACTGATGACCAGTCAGTTAAAAAGAAAGAAATTCTCAGCTGGATCAACGGGGTGTTCATTTGCGTCTTCACGGGCGAGTGTTTGTTGAAGATGATCGCACTGCGCCAGTACTTTTTCACCAACGGTTGGAATGTTTTTGATTTCATCGTCGTCGTTCTCTCAATTATTGGTACGATCCATTCTCTGCCGAATTCCGGTGAATCCTCGTCGGGTCAATGAGATTTTCCCGCTCGACTAACAAATGTTTCCTTTCCTCTTTAGGTATGTCTCTCTCTGAGCTGATTGAGAAATATTTTGTGTCGCCCACGTTGTTCAGAGTCATCCGACTGGCTCGAATCGGACGAGTCCTCCGCCTTATTAAAAGTGCCAAAGGAATCCGCACTCTTTTGTTTGCCTTGATGATGTCACTTCCTGCCTTGTTCAACATTGGTCTCTTGCTCTTTTTGGTGATGTTTATCTACGCCATCTTTGGCATGTCAAACTTTGCTTACGTGAAGAAAGAATCCGGCATCGATGACCTTTTCAATTTCGAGACGTTTGGCAACAGCATGATCTGCCTGTTTCAGATCACCACCTCGGCCGGGTGGGACGGCCTACTGGCTCCCATTCTCAACAAATACGAGGACGACTGCGACAGCACCACCGAGCATCCCGGCAGCGCTGTCAAAGGAGACTGCGGATCTCCTTCCGTTGGCATCGCCTTCTTTGTCAGCTACATCATCATCTGCTTCCTTATCGTGATCAACATGTACATTGCCGTCATCCTGGAAAACTTTGGCGTAGCCACCGAGGAAAGCGCCGACCCGCTGAGCGAGGATGATTTTGAAGTGTTTTACGAGGTTTGGGAAAAGTTTGATCCGAGCGCAACCCAGTTTATGGAGTACAACAAATTGTCCGAGTTCGCCGATGCCTTGGACCCGCCGCTGCGCATCGCCAAGCCAAACAAGATCGAGCTCATCTCCATGGATCTTCCCATGGTGAGTGGCGAACGCATCCACTGCCTGGACATCCTCTTCGCGTTCACTAAACGGGTTCTGGGCGAAGGTGGGGAGATGGACATACTCAGGGCACAAATGGAAGAGAGATTCATGGCCTCCAATCCTTCCAAAATGTCCTATGAGCCCATCACGACCACCCTTCGCCGCAGACAGGAGGACTCGTCGGCCGTGATCATCCAGAGAGCTTTCAGAGAGCATTTGAGGAGACGCGCTGCCGACAAAACCTTCGCGGAAGCCAAAGACGACATTCCCAAGGACGAAAAGCCGGTTGACAAAGAAGATCCAGTCGCGGACAAACTCCATGACGTCTCTGGCTCAGACATTAAGGAGCCTTCAACCTATCACACGTCGGAAAATGACAAAGCCGAACTGGATGACAAAGACGGCACGCAGCATGATTCGTAAGGAATGTTGGGAGATGCTTCAAAGACGTTCTAAGTCGTGACCAAATGTTTACAAGCGGCATCGGACTCCTTTTCTCAGCGTCTGGATATCAATGCCAAACTGACTTTTTCAGCTCATGAGCCTCAAGGTTGGTGCCTAAAAGGGAAAAGTGGCTCATTCGGGCAGCAGTGAAACCATTTTCTAGGAACAAGACTGTTGGAAGAGGATGGGCAGCATTTCTCAAGCGTTTGAAAAGACATTTTCACAGTCGTTCATGCTCTACTTTCCATTGCAGCGAGCTCTGTTCTATACAGTGTCTTGGACTATGACCATATCACTGACTGGTGTATTGTTTTGCCGACTTATTTTAAAAGGGTTGCCGTGATGTCGTTTCTTTTTTTAATCCATCGATTGCCTTTTTTCATAAACTTTTTTTTTCAACTTTTGAAATGTGTGGTTCGTTCAGGATGAATATAATTGCTTTCACGCTAGCTCTGTCTCGAATACCGTTGCCGTGACGTTGTTTCTTTTTTGAATCCATTGATTGCCTTTTTTCATAACTTTTTTTTTTAAACTTTTGAAATGTGTGGCATATAATTGCTTTCACGCTAGCTCTGTCTCGAATACTTGAAAAATCCAAAACGGACAATGTCAGACCTGCTGCAGCCAGTGTGCATTGACATGAATGTATGACCCGAATAAATGCATGCAAGAGCATTGGATGGGGAGCATATTTTCATCAGCCGCTTGCTTCGTGAAGCCAAGCAAATAATCATGACATGGCTGTTTTATGAAATACAGCGCAACATCCAAAGCTGACGCTCCATCCTGCCACTTTGGTTGACTTCCAAGTCAACAATTTTCCATGCCGTTTCATAGACAGTGAATAGTCGTGGTTGCAAAAACTGTATGAATACAGGTGACTTAAAAAAAAAAACATTTGTGATAGCACCTTAAAAGGAACTACATAATAAACTGTTTACTTTAGCACTTGCAAAATTTTATTCCAAGTTGAATGACTTTGGATGTTCCGCTCAATCTGCCATGTTAACAGATACACCAACTCAAGACAGCCATTCCCAAGAATTAACACGTTTTACACTTGAAAAATCTCCCATCAATCTGCCCTCCCCCCAAAAAAAAAAAAAAAACTGCCTTCTGCCTTTCCGTGGAAGAGCATTTCATTGCTCAATAAATAATTAAATAACAATCAGCCCAACTAAGTGCAATTAGATCATTTCTGCAGTACAGCTGACGATTTCATTGGTTGGGAATCGCTGCCTTGGGCGAGTGTTAAAAACAAACCCATCGCGTCGACCTGTCAAGTGTCACGTCAGTCGCACTTGCGCGGCCATACTGTACTTTGCGCATTCAGTTTTGTTGCATCATCATTGCGCTTATCTCAGGTCACTTGCGTGTTTTCCGGTCTACAATTTTCCATAATGCTGATTACGTGGAACCTGTATCATGATGTTACTAAATATAGACTCCGGGCAGACTGATTATCAGTTATATTGTCTTAGTTGGGCGTCGTCGTCATTCGCCAGTACTCAAAACCATTATGAGACACGAATGCCTCGGACAGGTCCTCCTTTCATGTTGCAGCGCTTGTTTTCAGTTGGAGCTAATAATCAACCACCGTATTATTTAATGGCTACAAAGTTGTGGATGCTGCATATTGGTTCCTTATGACATGATAGAAATCAAAATATTTCATTTGATTGAGGTAGTCCGAGATTCGAACAGCCAGCAGAAGCTGTAACAAATGCTCGAGTCGTTTTAAGGTCACTCCTTTTTCAAAGACAACCTGGCTAATTACAGCTGCTTAGTTGTTTTTTTTTTCTTTTCCGTTCCATTCAAGCGCGTCATCATTGTTTGTGTCTGACGTTTCAATAGATTTTTGTTTTACCTCACAATATTTATCAGGATGAATATCAAAATTAGATTTCTGCAGGATTTTTTATTTTTATTTTTTTGGGTAACGATTGTACATGGGACAAATTCACCGTGACCTTACTCTTGAGGGGTTTCCGACTTGTGTTTACATTTTGCTGTGACATTTTTTTCATCGGGTTGATTATTCCATATAGCGAAATACATCTACTGTTCCGTGTTACGAGAGAATCATTACGTGAATGTGAATATGTTTTGCATGTCATTCAAACAAGTCAATACATACATTGTTTTGATCATGACGACAAAAGCATTTGATTACGCAGACTCAAATATCTCCCATCATTAATATGCATAATGCTTGTAGTGTATAAATTATACTGCATGCAAAACACTGCTATAACCCATTTCAGTGAAAAGCCAAAAGAATAAAGACGACATGTACCCCGAGTATGCCTAACACATTTATTTTTGAAACGCATCGCATTTCTGACATCTCCTTTTTCAGACTGAAATCTACTGTGTCTTATGTTTCGGCCAATCTCTGTTGAACGAGCTCTATTCTGGTTTGTGAGTGTGCGCCGTGGCTTCTTCTGCCGGAAACAATTAGGGTCTTAAGTGGGTTGAGTATTTTATTAATTATTAATAATAGTCAAAATGTTTATTACAGCCCGACATTCTTTTTACTGCTTGTGACAGCTAATCCCGGAGTACAGTACACTAAAGGATGGTGACCAATTATTGATTGTTTCAACTGTCCCGTCTCACACTGGACTGTTATACAGTAGCTGAGCCATGTTTCTTTATTACTAAAGTAATAAAGCAAGTGCCTTTTTTTTTTCAAAAGGCACTTGCAAAACATTGAGAATGGGACCCCTTTACAGGAAATAAACAAGATAGATACAACGGATTGTGCTGACTAGGTCAATAGCACCTTGCCAACTACACTTGTGTAGGACTGCCTTATAGTGAAATGTTGGAACGACAACGTGAAAGAATGTTTATTTGGCCTCGGATCTTGCCACTGGCTAGTATGTGAGGAGGAGCACAGTATAAAAAAAAAAACAAGAGAGAAATCTGAGAATGCAACCCATAAGAGCTCTAATTCTATTTGCCTAAGATGGGAAGACGATTCCATTAGATTAGGTTGTGGTGAGTTCCTCCTAACCTCCCCCTGTGTCCAAGTGACATGCACGCGCTCTCTCTCAACCACTAAATCGCATTTTCAATTGAACCGCTTCCTAAAAAAAAAACAAAAAGACAAGCAGGCCCTTGTCCAGTTTAAATTCAAAATGATATCATTACAGTGAATGGGCATCTGGATGCAAGTCGCGCAAGTTGTGCGACACAACGAAAAAAAAAAAAAAAGAAATGAAAGCGTTCATTAGTAAGGAAGCTGGCTGCATCATTGAGTATGACTTGATCAATAATGGTCCATACAAACCACAATGGAGGTGGCCATTAGAATGCTGCAGCAGTACAACCCAGGGCGGGCATATTCCACAGTCTTTCCTCTAAAAGGTTTTCAGAAGCATTCCTTGTAAGTGCAGCAGCACATGCAATATTTATTGCGTCGTGCGATGTACAACACCTCAATCATGTAACTACCCCTCTACAAGGTTAATGCTAATTTGCTTATATGATTGACAATATTCTACTTCTCCTGAAAGGCTTGCAACAGTATCCAATCACGTCCGTGAACTACACTGCGCGCTAGAGGAAACAGACAGCTGCCTCAGCTCCACACCAATGTGATTTATGCTTCCATTGATGTGTGCTGCAGAGAGTTAATGATTATGTGCCAGTTAGTGGCTAAATAATATCTGACGCGGCCTGGAAAGGTTTCTCCTGGAACAGTTGTACCCGTGCCGGACACACGCTGCTCCCGCTATTGAATCAACTCTGTAAACGTCAACGGTTCAAACTTATCAGTCAATGCACGCGGTTACATAATGCTGGAGCAAAAATGACTGACTTATTCCACGGTTAAGCAATGCAAAAAAAAAAAAAAAAAAAAAACGATCACATTGCTCTTTATAGACTCTGTTTTCTAAATACACTATACAGGTTTTAGCATCAGTACACAAAATGTACAAAGAGTGAACTATGTAGTACTGAATTTTGGTGGGGGTTTTTTTTTGGGTTTTCACTTCTCCCGATTTTTTGGGGCATGGCTATAATGGTGCCCAGCTGTCCACTTGGGTTTGGCACAAGTCCCCCTCCCCCACTATATAACAACTTGAACACCTTTGTTTACATCAGTGGTTATCTGGCGAAATTTCAAGTTACTTATTGGAACTAGTCTCATTTGTAACCACTACGTTGTTAGCTAGCTAGCCGTGCCTACGTAACAAAAATGTAAGATTAGTGAGTACTAAATACCTCAGTTTCATCTTGTAAATGTTGAAAGTCAAACAATGTGTGGGACGTATCGCTGTAGACATCACCACAGTCGTATATAAGTTACAGGCAACTCATTTCATGATTAGCACTTCCAGTAGCATGTTAAGCTAATATTAGCAAGCCAGGACACACTGACTCCTCAACTAATTGATTCAAATGAATGGCTTTTATTTGACAAGTACTACTACAGACACACTTCAATACCGCACAACCAATTTACAGTAACGGGATATTGCTAAGTGTTCAATTATAGAGAAGTGGAAGTTAAACACTAGAGTAACTAAGCTGATGTCCTAAGGAAACGCTTCTCCCAGAAGCTGGCTGTCAAACTTCTATGGCCTCAAGGCAGCACAAGCTTTGTCTAAGATGTCCATTTTAATTTTTGAAAAATTTGGATGAGTCGCAAGCACCTGCAGATAGATGCAAAGAAAATAGATAGAAACATCTGAGAATATAAAAATTAAAACATTAACTCACAAACACATATGAAGGATTCGAACGCTACTTCACCTTATGGCAGACATCTATGGCGTCAAAATTCTGTTTTGATTTTAAGTAGTTCCAAGCAAGTTTATATCCTGTCAGGAGAAATTATACAATATTACCTCATTTATTTTGGAACAGACTGTCACGTAAATTAATGATCAACCTACCAATGGTTGGACTGAACTGATTTCCGTATTTCCAACCCAGTTTATAGTTGAATGCTGCATCACGAAATGCCTGCTCTTTTTCCATGATGAATCCCCGGTACTCATACGCCTTACAGCAAGACTGCAGAGAAAATGTTCAGTTTGAATCTTTTTTTTTTTTGCTCCTCAGTGACATCTACAATTCACCAAACAACTGCAGCACCCAAAACAGAAGTTTAGAGTGAGATGTGGTTTTAAATGGAAGTACGGCGCAGGTGACGCGCTAAAACGCACACAGCACTGACCTTGTTATGGCTGAGACATCTGTTTAGGAGGTCATCTGCTAAGTCATACTTCCCCGAATGGATGTAGATGTTCGCTAGGAGCAGCCAACTCTTCTCAAACTCGTCCGCGTCAACAATATTCCAGGTCATCTTTCCTATAAGTTTTAATTGGTTCCTGGCTTGGGGAGTTTGTTTCAACATCATGAAAGCCGTTGCGATGGCCAACAGGGCTGGCACGTGAGCTTCCTAAAGTCAAACGTCCTGCTTACACAGGACCAAGATAGCAACG